CCTGTTCTGGGTCAAACTAGGTACACAGTTGATGAGCTTGACGCTAAACGAGTGAAATGGCTACCAGGTGTTTAGATCGTCTCGATCTGGTTATCAAGCACCACTGGTTGACATAAGTGATGTACAACTACTCATTTCAATCAGTCAGTAGTATATAATGAGTTAATATACTGTATAGAAATACTCAGATTTGTAAAATATATCCTCTTTGTACAGGATCTGCAAATAAAATATTAATCTGCAGTTTAGCATGCGATGTAGCATTGTCCCATATGAAGAAAAACTAATTCTCTACGATACTTTTACTTCACTTCTTTGACAGATGGAAATTTCGCTGGCCCAGTGATTTAAGCAGGCCACCATATTTTTTTTATTAGTTATAATAGAAGAATTTCTATTCCGAGAATTCACTTATATATGTATATATACACAAAACTCTTCTGAACCGTTGAGTTTAATGATAGTTTTGTGATATTTGCTTCTTTGCTCATTTTGATTTCACCTAAATATTCTTCAAGATTCATTAATCTTTCATTACTTTGTCAACAGCACTCAGCATGAAAAGTAAGATCCGGATTTTTGACTCCAATGTGAAGTCAGTGCTACTACACGGATCAGAAATTAGGCGCGTCATGAAGGACACTTCGAACAAACTACACACTCTCATCAACAGCTGTCCTCGTTCAATACTCTGTGGGAACGAACCAACCCATCAGGAACCGATTATGCAACAAATATGCAGGAAGAAATGGAGGTGGTTGGGCTAAACTATGAGAAAACCATCAAGTGACAACCCAGGACAGGCTTCTCAAGTGCAACCTGAATGGTGAGTTGCGAGTCGGTCGTCAGTGCGAGGGTGACATGGAGGACGTCATGTGAAGAGGAGATGAAAGCATGTGGGCAGACGTGGAGCCAGGTGAAAACGTTGGCGGAGAACCGAACGCAATGGAGATGTGTGGCTGAAGCCCTATGTTCCTCTAGGAATTAAAGGAAACAATACTGATTCTTCAAGATTCAGAGTTTAGAAGAAGAACAGCTCTTCACTTTACTGACTATTTATTTCATACAAATCTTTCCTTGAATAGAAATCATCATTTTTAAAACAACTGTATTTCACTCTAAGGCTGTCTAATCGATTCATCGCATCAAAACTGTTTATTATTCATATTTAAAAATATCCTCAGCATAAAAATAGATGCTGATAGTCAACCAGTTATCAATTCGTTATCATTCTATTTCTCAAAAAAAAAAAATTTTTATCTTCGAAGGATAAAAATTCGTTTTAAATCCACTAGTTTTCTTGATTGTCTGTTTATCTGTTTGTTTGGTTTGTTTGTTTCTTTCTTTCCTTTGTTTCTCGCTTGTAGTTTACATTGTGTGTTTGATTTTAACATTGACGCTGATATGTAATGTCAAGTAAAAAAAAGTAATCTTGTTCCTTTTCCTCATTTATTATTCCATCATGTCATCTTCTATACATAAACTTTCCATGTAGAAATAGAGAGAGAGTGAGTGTGTGTGTGTGTGCAAGAGAGAAGGAGAGTATAAGCAAGCACATAGTTGAAAAAGAGAAAACATTTGCATGTAGTATAACAAAAGAAATATCAAACTGGTTGATTATGATGACGAGGACGATGATGATAGTTTTTAAAATTATGGAAATTTAGTTGAGCAGTAATGCATAACGATATTTTGGACTCTGCCTTCATGTGCTTTTTTTCATTTTTCTAGTTAATGTAGAAATTGTAAAGTGAGTTTTTTATAAAGAGCAAGAATAGTTATGCTACTTCTCGGTAGAGTAACGCAAAAGTAGTATATGTGTAATTCCTTGAGTTTGTGGGTTTGAATGCCATTTTTATTCCTGCCTTGTTAAGAATTCTGAGTAGGGTTACCGAGGTTCCTTCCTTGTATGGAATTACTACAAGGAAGGAACCTCGGTAACCCTACTCAGAATTCTTAACAAGGCAGGAATAAAAATGGCATTCAAACCCACAAACTCAATTAGAAACAAGCTTTGTCGGTTAAAGGATCCTGTAGAGCCTTTAAAACAAAATGATTTAGTTTGTCTAATACCCTGCAATGATTGTCAGTTCAAATACATAGGTCGAACTAGTAGAACAGGGGTAGTCAGACTAGCTGATCATAAAAACTTAGCAAAATCTAGATTGGTTGACCCAAATAAGATAAGAAATCTATGGAATAGTTCAGCTATAGCACTACATGCAATTACGCACACACAACCATACAATAGGATGGATGGGATAAGATGACAGTTTTAAAATCTAATGTCACAGGGTGGAGGGAGAGATTGATAACAGAAGCTTTGTTTATCGAATCAACTGCAAATACATGTAATAGGAATGATTCATCACCTGTCCCCAATATCTGGAAAGTTCTACTACCCCTACGACAAATAGGAGAGAATAAAGAAAACTATAAAACTTAAGTCTCAAAGTCGTGTGATTACAATTGATATGATTATGAACAATAAATTTGTTCGAAACGTCATCCAGTAAATAATACTGTTTCCTCACTGTGTGATATATCTAATAAACAAACTAATATGGAATTACTTACTACCACAGTGCCCAAGTTTTACACATATAGTAGTATATGTGTATATGTATATATACGCTACCATCCATTTAGATCCTAATGTGTAAGTTTTCTAGGTCCATTTTTGTCTCATACTAACATTAATAAGCAAAGAACATCGGTCAGACCTTAAATCGTTTTTTGGGATTCCTCATCAGTACACAATAAAAAATTCAGTAAAAATCAAGAACCAGACGCGTAAAAGACGAACATTCTAACTCGCATTCACTCGGTCGAGATCCACAGACTCATGGTTCTCAGCTACAGTCATTTCACCACTAACTTCTTTCTGCTTCGAGTATGCCAACTAACTTCATATCAGTACTGCGCTGCTTAATGTGTTTCTTTTCAATATAATCCCATAAATTGTAGGAAACATTTTGTTTATACAAAGACAGACAAAACAAACAGAGATGCGAGAGATATATAAATCCTTTGCATAACTTCTAAGTTGCCAAGTTTCCATTCCCCTGATATTAAGTAGAATCAGTTGAATTCTGTCACTTTTTAATTGTCCCTCAGATTTTTGTGAGACCAATATAAAACTGGAGATATGCATTTAGTGTTATGCATTATTGTGTTTATCTGAATATCAGTGCCACTGGCCCAATAGTAGAATAGTTAATGTGACCAAAAGTTAAGCGAATACACTCGTAATTTTTATGACACTTGTAAACCTTGAACAGAATTCGGACGTATATATGTATTAGGATGGAACAACAGAAGCGATCTGCTTCGGCTGAGATTCAGTAGACTTTGGTCTTCTTTTGAAAGACTTTCATAAGGCTATGCATCCATATTCTCTACCAGATAAGTTCAATTCATTGCATTCACGCTGTAGTAGTGCTCCTCTGGGGCCTACAATCGGACAAGTGGACATGTATGTCCACCTAGGAGAGCTGAAAAACCCTCATTCCAGATCCATAGCATGCATGGAGTCCAGAATCCGAATGGATCGAATAGTGCATGAACTTTTTTTGGCCACCGGAAACCATTAAATGTAGCTCCTGATGTTGTCCTGCCGTTTAATGGATCAGACTTCAGGTGACTTGGTCTTGGCATTTGGGCAGTATCTCAGACCTTAGACAAACTAGAAAATAACAGCTTCACTTGTGTGACGCATCTCTGGTGTCCATAATGTATCACGTTTGTGTCTTAATAAACAAATCAGCAACAGAAATACATGTATCTTATTACAATTTTTCATCTAATATAATCTTTATCTGTGTTTCTGACATGTTAGCTGCTTAAGTTTTAAATGGATTTCAAATAAATAAAAGCATGCATGTTTTCATTTTGTAGAACAAAACAGCCCTAAGTCACTACTGTTATTTTTGGAAGATATATATCACTTGCTGATGCCACTTCCAGATGAAGTAAATTTTCCGACAATGTGTGAATGACATAAGCACTTGTGATATACTTTAAACGTGCTATGAGCTTTCTTTGAGTGTCTTTTTATTATGGTTCAGCTTCCACTGGTCGTCTATGCTTCAGTGAGATGGATAGGTTGTATGCGAACGAAGTTATATCTTGAATAAACGTATCACAATAGTAGTCTCTAATCTATGCTACATAATTCCTTTTTACTGAAACAAGAATAATCAAACTGTAATTTGCATAACAAAAGATTTTCTCCATCTCATAAATGATATAACTTCAGGATTAATATTTTATTGCTGTGCACTTTTCAAAATTACTCGATTAGCATATTTGAAGGAATAATTCCAAACATCCCCAGATTTCCTGAATAATTTCGAAGATTTCAGTATTATGCTGGGCGTCGAATCTTCTGCTGTTATATGTGCTCTTTTATGTTAGTAAATTCCAAAGCTATGAATTTTGCATAAGGCAATTAATCCATATACTAAATGGCAAAATCGAATGGGTAATGGTGACTAAAATCCTTTTGTTACGTAGTAAAATATAATAGTGTGAGGAGACGAGATTCTTTCCAATAATTTGTCGTCCTCAGTTTTGATCACTAATTGATTGAAGTTCGGGAACCACTGTAAGCTAGGGAGCTCTAAAAATCTGTTTCGTCATTGCTGGGAGCTCTGCATCGGTATATATCCACAACCCGGTCGATCAGAGATCGAATGCAGGACTTTCTGGTTACAAGAAGAACTTGCTCACAATTCAGCCACTGGGATGGAACCCCATGACTCATCAATTCTAACTTCTACCAATTTGCGGTTTAGCGCGACCACCAGCCAGTGTCATAGGTGATTATCTCTTCTCATACCCATCGATGACGACACCCCTCCATAACTTCCTGTAACTCTATCCTCTGGTGAGTCACCAGTAGCCACTTGATTAATTTTCAAATGTTTGCTCGTTGTTCATCTATTTTTAAAAGAACAAATATGATGCTAAATTTCATCGTGTATGTTTCTTTTTCGTAGGAGAAAAGCAAGTTGTCTCTATAACCTTTGCACCTGATCATGATAGTGAAACATATCAACAAACTTTTCTGATAACGCTTCATTCGCAGGTGAGTCTAGTAAAACTATAATCTTACTAATGACAACAATTCAACCATCACATTTTTGCAGTCTTTTCTTAAACTCCATTTAACTTCTACAGGAATTTGTTGTTACATTTTCATAATGTACTTCCAACTGTAATATTTGCCGAGTGGAACACCTAGATACTATTAATTAATTCCTACCTGAACCAGTGAAATCTAAGAAGTGTGTAGCACTCTATTTAAGAGTACCCATGTCAAACTTGTCATTGTTCTAATGCAAACTCATAGTAAAATAAAATGGTACCTTTAACACAATCATAAACATCTGACTTTTAGACCACACCATTTTTAATAATTCACTTCGTTTCAGCACATGTTTTACCAACCAGCAAATGCTATTACTCGCTATATATTTATAATATACGTAGGTGTGAGCTCTATTTTACTGCTTCCCACAAAACTTAGAACGTAGGAGCAAACAGAAATAGAATAATATTAAAATAAAGTAATGAAACATGGTAAAAATTAAAATAACACAATGAGAATTTACGAAAACATTTGATTTCTCAAAAATAACACTGGATGAACATGTCTTCATCACTGTGATAAGTTTCTGTTCATGTTAAAAATCACTGGTTTTCAACATCCTATAGACCCGAGTTATTATACTTTTACATTCGTAGTTAGATCACCGATCGAAAATCTCATGAACTGGTGTATCATCTTAGTGTGAGCTTTCTTGAAATCTAATTTTACTCTTACTAACACTTCCCAGTTGGTTTGAAATTAACACATCTGCAGGTAAACTGCACAAAAAACATTCTGATGCATAATGTACTCTCCTTATGCATAGTAACCTATAAATACTTTCATAAGAAGTATCTCGTATCATCGAAAAGATAATAAACATCCAGACATTGTTATTTATGGAGAAATTGGTGGATGATGACTAGCGGTGGAATCCAGAATGCTCATTCCGTACTATTTGGCACTTGTCACCTGGATGTACCCTTCCATCACCAGTGAGTGATGATGTTCCCACTGAGACTTGGACTCGGCACCTATTGTTTCAAGAACACCAAGACCGACGAGTCCCAAAAATTGGGTAAAACAAGTATCCTAGATACCACTGCTAGTCTCCATCCACAAAATAACGTCATGTGAATCTTTAAACATTGTCAAGACGTCCGTACTAGGAGCCGATATGTTAACAGAGGCCAAACATTTTTGTTCAGCCGATCATAGGAAAGTAACAGAAATGACTTTAAAAAATCCCAAGATATTCCTATCGTCATCTAGGCTTTGAATTCCATATCATCAAAGTGTTAGTCCTCTTGTAAATAAAAGTGATCTAAGGAAATGATCATTCTTTATTTTCTCCTACCTGCTCATTAACATCATCGTCATCATCATAAGTTATACAAACAAGTAAATTTTGTTTATTTTATGACTAGATAAACAATTCGCATAAACTGATCCTTAGCGGTGCATGTAAACAACACAATCTGTATATTCGTGGAGGTGATCAACAAGACAATGCCAGCAGTACCCTTAATACAAGTGTTCAAAATGATTTTCTTGGTACACAATTTCTACCAGAATCTAAAGAGATTAGTAAGTCATTACAAAAGATTTACCTAATCAATCAATTTTCAGCTTAGTGTTTTGAAATTAAAAGATGAAATAGGAAAGAGATAAATATGAAAGCTGAATTAATATTAGAATGTGCGATAACACTGTCTTTATTTTCAGACTATCATCATGCTATTCAACTTAGTATTATCAACTCCTTAAACATCTTGTTATGACATACATCTTATACATTTTTAATTAGATATAATGGAGAGGATTTGTTGCCCAGGAGGACAAAGTACTCTAAACAAACTGTTTAGCAAGACAATGAAACCTTCGCAACTAAACCATCAAGCTCAGAGGACACGAGGACACCGAATTATTTTCACCTTCGTGACTCTTAAGTAAATGATGAACAATCACAGAAAGAGTAAAACCCATTTAAACCGTTTGCGTAATGTTGTTAGCTGGGTAGCTAGAAGATATTGCTTACAAATACTTAATAAGTGCCACTTTTACTCGGTGCGTCAGTGGCACAGTGGTCAGGACGCTCACTGACCGTGCATATGGTCCGAGGTTCGATCTCCGGCCGATGCACTCCTTTACCTCGCTAAACCAGAAATAAAGTTGGTAAAGAGGAAAGGTTGGGCATGAGGCTACCAACCCATCCTGTAAAAACAAAATTTGCTGCATAAACTTCAAGCCTCTAGCTTGAAGCCCTGTGTTCCACTAAGAAAGTGAAGGAATGAAAAACAAAAACTTTTACTCGGTGCTCTCATATGGTTCAGAGACTTGGTACACCAGTCATTAAAAGCTACTCCTGACTTTTGTCAACAGCTGACTTATCTGACTCCACACTGGAAGTCAGAACTCTGGCAACAAGCCAACCAAAAACCAATTGCTGTACAAATATGTGGAAGAAAATGGAGATAGATCGGACACACACCGAAGTAACTGTTGACTGACATTAAATACCGAGTCAGCTCTGAAATGGAAGCCGAGTGGTGAGCGATGAGTTGGGTCGAAGATTGATATGTAGGAGACTGCGTGAGGAGGAAGTGATAGCTTATGAGTAAGTGTGGAACCAGCTTAGTAGGTTGCGTATATATTCTTTCGCAAAAACACGTCAACTAAGTTAAAAAGTAGATTGCTTAACAACGGCTTTTAAGCTTTTGTCATTTTACCAAAAATACTGGACTGAATAAAAGCTAGTACGCTTAATTTAAGTATTAGTTTTCATGATCACTAGTGATTGTGTAGTTTAATTTAAAGTAAAACTTTCCATTCATAAAAATTTCATCACCAGACTGTAATGCTTCATTTGCTTCATTTGACTGATTACTGTTCTAGAGACATCTTACCTTACAATAAACGGTCAACAGTCTTCCCTCCTTAGAGAAAATTCCAACACTACTACAGAAACTGAACCAACTGAAAAGGAAGGAGAAGATAATCCTATGCACAAAAAAGAGTTAAAAATTAAAGAATCACCTACAAAAAGGATCTTATACGCTGGTTTTGTACAGTCTTCAAGCGGTGGTTCAAAGAAGGTTCGTTATTTTGATTTTTCATATTCATATGACACTTAGTGTTTGTGTTTCTGATAATGAATACATCATAACATGTTTATTTCCTTCCAAAAATATATGTAGATAGGGTGAGCAATATTGAGGTAAAGAGGGGAAATCAATCGACGAGGCTGTGAAGCTACATCAACTGAGGTGGATGATTAGGACATGTGTTAAGCATGCCTGCCTAGCCATCGCCTTCCTCGACAGGCAATGTTAGTTGACATAGAGCTAGCGGCAGTCAAACTGAAACATGGCATCAGCCAATGAAATCCGCAGAAGTTAGTTTAAGCCAGCCACGTGGGAAGGTATAAACTTCCTGACTGGCTGGAGTCCTCAGGACGGTAAACACCAATGGCTGTAGAAAATCGGTGAAATGGCTCAAAATCGTTCTCAATGGCTCGCGCAGATGCATCCACTCCTTGTGACTTATAATTTCCAATGAAACTATATTGTTCTTCGTTATTACTATTCCTTTTGTTTCATATCCCTCTCTACTGTCTCTATTTTGTATTCCCTTTTACTTTCTTCTCTTGCTTTGTATGCTACAAGGAGGGAGCGTGGTGACTTGAACTGCTGCACATTGGTGGAAAGTTCTATGTCGAAATTAGACAGACAGACTTTGAAAAGCATCAGTTATTTCTGTTTAGTTATAGAGTTTTGTGAAAGTCGTACTAAAACAAGTCCGGTGCAAATACTGTCAGAGTCTCACACAGTGTATCACAATTTCCTAGTCTACATGCTAATAATATGGAAACTTCAAATGCTCTTCCAATAAGTGATGCCATCAGAATAGCGTGACATCTACTGCATAAGCAGAAAAAGTTTCCCTTCTACTGAAATCAATTAAGGTAGTATTTAAACTATAAAAACCAAGATGCTGAAAGATAAATGACTGAATGTATACGTTCTTGAATTATAAACTCTTCCTGAGAAGTCTCATATTAAACAATGGTTCATTACTGTGGCTTGTCAATTATAAATGCACGCTGGTTATTTTTTAGAACTTTGTCGGTAGTTACGTGTATTCGAATATAATTTCATTGAGTTACTCTCACAAGTATGGTCCTTTAGCTCAATGCATCTTCTTTTTTAGTAACAAAACTGAACTTTCTCAAAGAGAGTATTTATTTTTGTCCTGAAAACCGCCTACATTTCCTTTGTCCCCAGACTCAGGATAATAAACTTATTGATTGATATTTTCGAATCAGACAAATTACTCTGAGTTAGACAATCACTTTTTTGAGTTGTCCCATTTTTAGTCTTTAATAATATTTCAACAATAAAGACAAACCAATAGTCCTTTTTGGGAATGTTAGATAAAATGGTGCTCCAAGTAATTACGGTGTAAAATACCTTTGTACCATTGTACCATTTCATACATTTAATCTAAAATGAATCCACAATTCAGTCAAATAGATACCATGAGTGATAATAATAAACATCAGTTGTATCATTTAGTTGGGGACGTAATGTCTGGCGTTTTACTGAAATATGAAAAGTCCAAAGTTTGCTAAACACTTAGCACTACGTTGGATTTTTGCTTATAGCGACATTATCTTCCATATGAAATTTGACTGAGTTGCTGCATAAATCATACGAATAGTTTTACTTGATGTCAGTATTGAGTAGTGTCTACATTGCACATTTATCTGTCATTTCTGCTTAGAATAGAGAAATTTACTACATACTGTCGTGAAACACTCTGTACAAACTTATTCTATTCACGGTCATTCTTGAGTTGAGTATTATCAATAGATATCTGTCTGAGTAACTTATATTGAGCTGTTTTAGACAAAACTTTCAGCCGAACATTCGGAACTGAAATAACAGATACTTTACTAAAGCCTAAATACTCATTTTTGGGGCAAAAAGCATACAGCATGTTGCTTGATAAATTACAATTCAGAAAATCACACTTGGACTTAAATTCAAACGAATTGTACTGGATGTATTTGTGAGTCCGACAGTGCGTTCACTACTCTCAGATCATCTTTTTTAATTCACCTTATATACTGTATGTATGTGTATAAAGCAAGTAAACTACTGATAATCAACTTATGAGAAAAAAATAATCCAAAATATTACAAATATTGCTTCTTTTCAGTTCTCTATCAGATTATATCATTCGACATGTCTTCCTTATTCACCAATGTACAACTTATGGAAACAGTAGACTTTGCATGCGAAGAACTCATAAAACGAAACATCGATGTTGGCATTCCTTTATCTTTCATAAAAGAGCTTGTCTTGAAATGCGCAATGAATGTTCCCTTTTTATTTAATAAGGAACTATACAGACAAATCTATGGTGTGGCAATAGGGTCACCACTAGGACCCATTCCAGCCCACATTTTCCTTGAGAAACTGGAGAATTGGCCTTTGAAAGATACAACTGTTAAACTCAAATTCTATTGTCGGTACATAGATGATACATTTTTGGTTATGAAAAATGAGGATGAAGCAAAGAACATTCTGGACAAACTCAACGATGTTCATCCTGCAATGAATTTTACTACTGAGAAAGAAAAAGACTCTAGTATTTGATTTCTAGACGTCCTTGCGACTAGAAAAGAGCATGTCACAATAAGAAAAACTGTATATAGAAAACTTTCATCAACTGGTCAGTATACTCACTTTTTCAGCTTCATACCCTTGAAATACAAACGCAATCTGATAAAGTGCTTGGTTCACAGAGCAAGAGTAATCTGCTCGGAGGAACTTAATAATATTAAACGATTGTTGAGTGAAAATGGTTATCCAGAAAAGTTCATTGATAAGAATATGATTCAAAAATCAAGGCAGGCCAAGGTACCGAAGTTCCTAAAAAGGCCTTATTCTTAAAAATTCAGTTCCTCAAGGATAACATAAGCGAGATACTAACACAACGCCTTAAGAATGCGGTAAAAAGAGCATTCCCCGGTGCTGAATTACGCTGTGTCTTCAAAACCACCCAAATTTTGCTTTCGGAAGTAAAAGATGAACTGCCTAATTTCTCCTCTTCTATGTTTATCTAGCAATTTGACTGCTCCTTCGGAGTCAGTTACAAAGGCATACAATTAGATCTGTTTATCGTCGAATTTCCGAACATCATTATCCTGCGTGGTTAAGTAAGGGACAAACTAAATTCATTCGTAGCGCTATTCTGTTTCATCTGGTGAATTCAGAACACAACATTGATGTTAACGAGGCTTTCAAAGTCATTTACCGCATACCGAAAAATCTTAACTTCACCTTAAGAGTTCGTCTACTACATGTTGCTGAAACTGGCTGTTGGGATTCACATTAAGAAGCCTAATTTATGTGTCCAAAAGAAGCTAGTTCAGAAATTGTCCTTAACTTCGCCATCAAGGTTCTAATGATCCTCAATTTTCTGTGGAAATTTCCTTAATTTTATTCGATGTTCTATTTGCTGTTACATTTTATGCTTATCATAACTTATACATCTTTCTTGAACTGTAATTTCACTGATCTTAACAAATCAATATTATTTTAAAAAACACCAATATTGTTACTGACTACTTTTCTAGAATATTCCATGTATATAAACATATATATAATTGTAGAGCCAGAAGATGAAATTAACGAAAAGAATATTCTTTCCTCAAATATTTTGTTGTTTTTTTAGTTTGTGCTTGTCAAAAATAAAGGTTTTAAGAATCTTATTATTGGTGAATCATGATGGAGTATTTTTTTTAATCTTTAACTTCTACATATTAGCACTCCAAATGTTTATTACATGATATCTAACTTACAACGAAGTTTTTATTCAACCACGAACATAAAAAGCTGCTAAAGATAATGCCATTAATTGTAAGTTTTGAAGTATAAACAGAAGAATTGTATGAGAAGTGTAACTGAAAGTGTTGAAACAAATTCTTACTTCTAATGAATATGGAATTAGTCACTTTTCTGAATTTTTAAAATGAAATATGATATACAAGTTTTTTAGGTGCCTCTTCAGTAGAATTTAACAAATATGCAATAAAGACACACTTGTTGAGGAAGGAAAAAAGTTGACACAAACTCTGGTTGGTAATAATTATCCAGACAAGTTCATCAGGAGATATAAAATAGTCAGAACACCAAAATTCACTCTCCAAATCACCCTTAAGAAAGACATGTACATCAAGCTACCCTATATGGGGGATTATAGCACCTTGATAACTAGACATGGACTGAACGCTGCTGTTAAAAAGACTTTTTTAATAACTGAGAATTTGAAGACAATATATCCATCTAAGCCCTTTGGACATTCGAAAAATGATGTCACATCCCACTGTATTTACCAGTTTGAATGTTTGTGCGGCCACACATACATAGGGAGGACTCATAGATCTCTGCAAGTAACGGCTGGCTTCAGAGCATATTCCTAAATGACTTCAGAAACGCAGTGAATCTCCAGAACCCATTAATGGTGAGAACAGGTGACCTAGCTCCTCTATTGCGAAACATATTATACAGACAGGACATAAAGTTGATGTTCACATCTTTTAAACCTACCTGTAAAACATGTTCGGAAGGGGGAAACCTGAAGTTTATGGAAGCCCTAGCTAGCAATTAGAAAGTTTAAACCACCTTTATGTGTTCAAAAACAACTCGTTATCACACTAAACCACCTTCTTTTGCAAACTTTATTTTGATACCAGCCAGGGTAGATGTATTATTACCACTCTTATTTGGTTTAGTGATCTTCATTGTAATTTTGACCTTGAATAAGTCCTTTTAACTTGACCTAAATCTTTTTGCTCACCTCTTAACTCTTTATTAATTTCATATATATTCCTATGACAAGTCAGTGTGAGATCGATCAGATTGTTCGAAATGTGTTGCGCAAATACATTACACGATTCAGACAAATTACGTCTTCTTATTGCTTTGTCTACATACAAGTTAGCTAGGTAACTTCACTGCACTCACTGGACAATTCAAATATTTCGCTTATCTTATTAACCTTATTCACCAAAAGATAAATTCTTTAATCTAAATGTTATATTTATATTTTTTTACAAAAATATTTTAGAGTGGTGAATGTATCATAGAAAATCTCAACGAACTGTCTGCTATTGGATTCACTGTCAATCCACCCAAAGTAAGTTATGTGCTGTTTTAAGTATTATTATTATTGTTCCCTTGGGTTCCTAGTGGAACTTAGGGCTTCAACTGCACGTCTCCACTTGCTTCTGTCTTCTGCTGTACTTTTCACCTGAATCCATGTTAGTCCGCACTGTTTCATCTCCTCCTCACACGATCTCCTCCATGTCACCCTCCTTAGACGTCCCACTCGCCGCTTCCCTTAATGGTTCCACTCGAGCGTTGGCCTGACGCGCGGTGTCACCCAGCGGCCTCCTCAACGAGTGTCCAATCCATCTCCACTTTCTCCTGCATATTTGTTGGGTGATTGGTTCTTGTTTTGTTCGTTCCCATAGTTTCTTGTTGGTGATTCTTTCCGGCCATCTGATCTTCAGTATAGAGCGAAGACAGCTGTTGATAATGGTCTGCAACAGGCTGTTGGAAATATTCTTTGTGACCAGCCAAGTTTCTGTTCCATATAGAAGAAGTGACTTGACGTTTGTATTGAAAATCCGAATTTTGTTGTTGATGCTGAGTGACGAAGATTTCCAGATTGGTTTCAGGTTGATGAATGTGTTTCTCGCCTTCCCGATTTTCGATTTGACATCCTCGTCCGTTACTCTTGTAGTTGATACAATGCTCCCTAGATAAGGGAATGAAGTAACCTCCTTCAAATCCCTCCCGTTGATGGTGATTGGCACTGGATGTTGCTGCTGTTGTTGTTGTTGTTGGTTGGTTATTTTCAAAATCTCTGTCTCGTCTATGTTCACCTGGAGTCCTGTCTTTGCTGCTTCTTCGACCAGTTTGTTGGTTTTAAGTGGAAATGGGTAAATACTAGACAACGCCCTCACTGTACTTCTTCTTTGAAAAAGAACTAAGTTCCCTTTTAGATCTTATTCTGAACAGATAGACTTATAGGAAATCCAACTCACAGTTATATTCATAACATTAGCTATGAAAATTCATAAAGTGCTAATGAATCCCTTCCTTTTTTATAACGGCAACAAATTTAAACTTATCTCCACTTATTATATGAGTTGAATTATTGTACAGTAAATTAACAACATAAGTCTGAATAGTGCAGACAACCCAGTTATAACAAATATGAGGAAAGCAGCATTGAAAAAAATTCAGCGGACTAATACAAGTAATGCATAAAATTATTAAGAAAGTAACTTATATATACAGAATAAGAAATTGAAAAGCTAAAATTCAAATTCATAAATTCATTAAATAGCAACCATTATGAAATCATAATTGAAACATCTAACAAGGTTACGTCAACCGATTTCAAGAAATCTAAAAATTCCTACATTAAAAGACTCAACAAATTACAAAAGGTGCCAACATGGTACCGCTGACCATAGGTTGAATAAAGTGATGGATTAACCTCTCAAAGAGAGCATTAAGCTCAGGCAAAATAAACGCGCTCAGAAAGAAATTAAACTTCACTATGGTCGTTTATGAAATAAAATCCTGCATATTCGTTAGTACAGTATATAATCGCTATGAAAACACATTTTTGACTCTTTCATCAGCTTAAGCACTCATATATCAGTATTTACTCTGTCTTTAACCCATATTAAATGGACCACGTACTAAGTAGCTGAGTTATAAATTCTTGTTCTGTTTCAGTCACCTAGCTGTATCCGACCGAATAATTTCAATGCGTAGAAATCTCTTAAAGTTTTCATTTCACTATTGGACTTCTCTTCTACTCTACCCCCTGTTTTAGAGTTAATGTGACTATCATTATCTATGCCTAGATGGATATTTTTTGCCTAATTATCATTTAATAAAACAAAAGACATGATCAATGTTTAAAAATAGCATTACATTTGCTATAAGTTTGTAGTGTTCGTTGACATAGACATCATAGACATCACAACAGATCCCATAGTGAATATTTATTACACAGTTTTAAGACAGTATTAGTTTATTTCTTTATTCAAATGTAAACAGTGATCCTTTTAAGGAAATAGGCGCAAATTTATTCGAAGGCATACATATAGATTTTGAGCAAACTAGCTAGTATTTACTGGTATAAGGATGAAACTTGGACACTGTGGTAGAGTAAAACTCCATTATGGATAAAATTTTATTCTGATAAAGTCACACAGTGTTATACAGTAATAATATTTACTGATGACCAAGTTTCGAGCACAATTTATTGCTCATAATCATATCAAGGCACTCATACAACTTTTTTGCTTCATTTATATACATGAGTAAAAACTGACTAGACATATGAATAAAATCAATATAAGACTTGCGTGAAACAGAATGGAAGACAAAGTACATTTGGAAATAATATTAGTGTTATCAATGAAATACAATAGGAAGGGAAATAAGACGATTGTTGTTAGTCAATAAGATGGGAAATGAGATATTTTAATAGTAAAAATTAGTAACTTGTTAGAATGTGAACTGAATACATTTTAACATTATTTATCATCCTCTCATTTGACTGGTAATAATATCTTCCATATCTCTCGTATTAGCGATGATGCGTCACTTCTATTGCATGTGTTGGTTGTAGACTCGATGAACCAGGATTCAGGAATCAATTTCTCTCCCTCTCCACCTACCTATATTACTCTTTAGGATTTTGACTCTGTCCCACCCTATTGTGTGGTTGTGTTAATGCATGCAGTGCAATCGCTGAGTTTTTTTCTAAATTACTTATCTTCGTGGGATCAATCATTCTAACCTTAGCTAAATTCTTATGTTCTGATAATCTCACCACTCCTGATCTACTAGTTTAACCCATGTAGCTGACCTAACTCACAGTCATTACAAGGAATTTTGTAAATTATATTATTTTGTCTAATTGGATCAACCGACAGGGTCGTTTAGCCTACAGATACTCGTCTTAATTCTCATCATGTTATATTTATTGATTACACTAATATTCGTTCCGAATGTACTTTATCTTCCATTCTGTTTCACGCAAGTCTTATATTGATTTTATTCAAATGTCTAATCAACTTCCACTCATGTTTACAAACGAAGCAAGAGTATCTTGATATGATTATGAGCAATAAATTGTGCTCGAAACTTGGTCATCAGTAAATATTACTGCAAAACATTTTGTGAATTTATCAAAATAAAATTTTATCCATAATGGAATATTTACTGATCTTGTAAGATTCGTCCATAGAGATGCATATTACTTATTGTTTAAATGATAGACTATTTGTTGGTTACCATAGCAACCTAAATACATAAACTGCAACACATCTTATAATAGAAGTAGTCAACACTATTAAATAAAGGGGTTTTTCTGTAAAACAGATAAAACTATTAATTATTTCACAGACAATTACGTTGAAGGCATTCCATTTGTACGGGAAAATCACTGACTAAATTTCATCATAATAATACTAATAGAGAAAATATCTTCAAAGTTAACTTAGAAGTAACAATAAGGCTTTGAATGTGAGCAACTAGAGTAGCTTTTCAAGAGTACATGTATTATCTTCTAAGTTATTCTATGCTTATAATCACATACTGATGAAAAGTTGTAGTTTTACCCCATCTTTCCCCTTCTTCTTCACATTTTAGTAATTATTATAGAGCAGAATTAATATACAACTTCAAAGAAATGAATAGACATTAATTCCTAACTTTCTGTTGATTAAAAACTACGTTTCAATATGATGTTTGCTTAGATTACTTAGAAAAGTATGACTTTATATTTTTTGATTGGACACTAGTCAGTAACTAGTGTAATGTGTGCATCTAGTCCTATCTTTGGTGCAGACTGAATTCTATCAGGCAAGTTTACAATATGGCCGCTATGCTAGGTGGCTCACCATCACGGTGCACTGTGAATTGTTGGTATTAGATTGCCTCCAACCATCTAATATGACTATATTCAGTACATTCTTAAAGATATTTAATCTATTAGTTGTTAAATTCTCTTTAATGTCCACTTTTTCAAATATTTTTATCAAGTTAATTTTAGATCCTGGGACAGAACAGCCAATTACATTTACTTGGACTCCTAATCCTGATGTCAGAGTATGTTCACTATTATTGTTATTGTTGTTGTTGTTATTAGCTAATAATCAAGCTTTTGACACTCTTATTGTTACACATATTTTCCACAATAAAATACCATGATTTATATCAAGACTGTTTAGTCTAAAAAGGTGTTTCACTTTTAACAAGCGTATTTCAAGTCTTGTAACTATATATCACTGACTGTAATTCAGAAAACTAAGTGTCATTCCATCAATACGACAAAAAGACGTAACTTATTTAGGGCAAGAAAAGCTTTTGTTAATCTGAAATCAATGTGGAAATGTACTCCACTCAGCATCAAGAATAAGATTCAGATTTTCAGCATTAATATCAAGTTACTGATGCTGTATAGTCCAGAGATTTGGCGAGTTACCTCAAGCATTTTCAGAAGGCTTTATCAACAACTGTCTTTGCCCCATACTGAAGATCAAATAGCCTGAAAGGATTAGCAATTGGGAATTCTGGAAACGAACGAACCAAGAACCTGTTACCTGACAAATATGGAGAAGGAAATGGAGGTGGACAGACACACGATAGGAGATCACTAAGTAACATTACCCACCAGGCAGATGCTCGAATGGAACCCGAATGGGGAGCAACGAGTAGGACATCTGATGGCGACATGGAGGAGATCGTGTAATAAGGAAATCAGAACTTATGGGCAGTAGTGGAGGCAGATAAACAGAGCTGCATAGAACAGGATGAAATGGAAATTTGCTACGGAAGCCTTATTTTCCATTCGGAACTTTAGGGAATAAGAATAAATTGGCGCAGCTAATTTCAAATATAAATATTTATTTGAAAGTTAACAGAATATAAAAGGTCAAAATTGAAATCAGTGGAAGGTTAGGATCACTGATGAAGATACAATAACTTAATATGCAAACAACCCTTAGTTTCAAAATGAAGTTACCAGAAGAGGATAATTGTAATAACACATAATTTTCAAGCAAATAAATTACGTCTCAGATTTTTGTTCTCATCGCCTTAATAGACTTAAATATATGCCTAAAGCATTTTTTATATATTGACTTAGAAGTGGTCTCAAAATCAATTTAATGGCACAACTTATTGATCTGCTTTGAGAAGTAATGTTGAACACCTATTCCCCAGGTAACTGGTTTCACTTGATTTGATTTATCTATGCAACCACTTCAGTATCAGCCCTGTAGCCCTGGCATGCCAAGATGGATTAGTCTTCTTTATTTATTTGTGTTACATACAATACAAATGTGTAAAAAGTGGTAATTTCGGGATCAAAATGTTCGAAATTGATTGTGCTAATTTATTACACTTCCTAAATAAACTACATATTGCTGTCTAATCAATATTTTATAAACAGAGAACGAAATAATTTGAAATTCACATATGATTGTTACTCCCACAGTAGAACTACAGATGCAGACATATCTTAGATTTTCATCGACCTAGGATAAATAGAGTGTTGTCGACTAAAACTTACTGATAATTAAGAAACTCTGATGAAAGTAATATGAGGGAAAGTAATACATCGAACTGATTTAATGAAAAAAGATGTTATTAATGTCAGAATTTATAACTCAATACCATATCCCTATCACTACTGCTTAGTTAGAATTATACAGAACTTTCTTCAAATTCACGCCAAGCCGTTCAACTTCGTTAGACTGATATAAAACGATAATGTTGAGAAGAGATGGAATTTTATCAGCATGTGCCTTCTTACTATTCAGCAAGCAAATCAAAGTAGTGTATTTCCAGCTGTATCAAATTTATTTCAAAAAGCTAACTAATAATGATTCAGATAATTACGTTTACTACAATTATTTACTTTGTCACTTCCTTGTATCCCTACAAAGCGAATCCTCACTTGCATAATGAACACATCTGTTAAGTTTAATTGCTTAAAACCGAACAATGTCTATAATTTTTGGAGTTATAGAAGCTGGTGCAATAAATACACATTTTAGGTTAAATTCCAACCAACAGAGAATCACTGAAAACCATGGGTTACTGGACAGTCATTTTGTCCTAGCTAAGGACTTTTTAGAAGTGCTCACCCATGACCTTATCTGAAGTCGAGTGTACGGTCATTAGCTTACAAGAACAATACTTTACCTGAGTCTGATTCTTGTTGGTGTCTTGGATGCATACTGCTGAAAAATCTTAAACAAGGAGGATACATCTGTCTATTACTCCCTGGTTTTCAGTGGTTCTCTAACTAATATGGGTTCATGATGTAATCTAACTTGAAAACAATTTTAATTCCTACAAACCATTACTTAAAAAATATAGATTATTAATTAATAAAACTTATCATCCTAATAAATTTGGAATTAGTTTTGTGTTTGAAATTTGTTTATCAAGTTTATTTAACTCTACATTTCTTATCTGTGTTCTGTTTATTTTTGTTAGACTGGAGCTATTGTGAAGTCAACTGCTCTGATTCAACTTCGATCTGATGTGACTATCAATCATCATGTTATATTGAGAGGCATTTTATAAAGTTTATGAAATCTTACTTGATATCAGCCAGACAGACAAATCACAATGGACTTTACTGACATTTTTTAAATCATCATCGTCTTGTTTGTAAACAGTCCAATAAAACTCAAATAAATGATTATTTATACTTACTTCTAATAGTGCTGACTAAGATCTTTCATTAATTTAAATGACTGAATAGATATAGTAATTAATTAATCACTTCTAATGACAACTTATCGTATATTTTTATGTAGGATGATATATATGCATGCTATATGAAGTCATTCGATAACCTTCCCTTCTAAAATCTGTCAATCGGAATAACTTATAGGAGTACAACTTAATTATCTCCGGTATATATTATAGTGAGAGAAACAATAAACTACCCTGTTTGATATGAGGTGTTATATTTTTGCCATTTTAAACTAACAATTACACATCATATATATGCCCAAACCAAGTTCACTTTTAACAGTTTGAAAAAATTTGGGCATTGGGTATATGATATTCATTATAATAAAGGTTTTTGTATTTCCCAATGAATGAAAAACAAAACGATATTGTTTTTACTGACGTTTCGCTATTTAATGCTAATAGGTTTAATAATACTTTGATAAAGCTATTAGCATTAAATAATGAAACGTCAGTTAAAACAATATCGTTTTGTTTTTCATTCATTGGGAAATACAAAAACCTTTATTATAATGAATAACAATTACACACTTTATTATTTGCTTTTATTTTATTATAGCTTGACTCTATACAGTATTTTTGATACAAGTATGGAATTTTTAGTATGTGATAACGGTAGCCCAAATTTTGCAGGCCGACCATTGATATCGGGTGTGCGTCGGCCGGGGATCCAACCTCGGACCATGTGCGTGGTCAGCGAGCGTCCTAACCGCTGTACCACCTTTTATTCCTGATTCTCTTTGGCATCATTTAGAAGATGAGAATAATAGTAATAATAATAAAGCAACACTAGTAAGCTTTTGACTCGAAAAATACTTCATGCAGATCTGTTGGTAAGACAAAAGCTGAAACTACACGATAATAGACTAAGGCTTATTTTATGATCTTTTCTATGTGCTTAATAACGCATATTTAGAATTTAATTCGTCTCAGGAACAGAGAAACAGAAACGGTAATTTATCAGTTCACTGAACACCAATGATATATATACATACATGCATATACTCCTTTTGCATTCCAAGTGAAACATAGGGCTTCAAACTTTTGAAGTTTCCTGTAGCGATGGTTTTTACGGGGTGGATTTTCTAGATTCACCCTTCAACCTTCCATCTTTTTCGGGCTTTATTAACCTATAGGCCAGTAAAGTAGGCAAGGTTTATGAGTGTGCTGTCCGGGAATCCGGCCCGGACCTCCAACATGACCAGTTAGTACTCTGTCATTGAACCACCGATGATGTTATTTTATTTATTAATAAGTGATATAGCGTTCGGCCCATTGTTTCCTAACAAAGAAACATCAAGTAAAATTTCTTCTACCCTAAGAAATTAAAAAAATCTTCAGCAAGCATTGCTTGTATCATCTGCACAAACCTAGTACTAATAGCTATATACTTGGAAACGGCTGTCAACAAATACCTCTTCCGGGAATATAAAGTAAACCCATGCACTAGATGCGATTTTAAAATAATTAATACATCTACCTATCATCTACTGTTTATCTCAATCATATTTCTTCATGTTACTAGGAACTGAAGACTTTAAACCAAAAATAGATTTGGTTTGACAGCTGATTACCGCATCATAAACAAATTAGCCGTCTGATTCTAGGCACTGGTCAAAAACTATTGATCAGATATGAAAAGTACTCATTTAAGTTTAATTCGTAACAGTGCTAACTATTCTCCACTTTAGTTTGAAGTAAACCAACAAAAAACCCTGAATACAGATTTCCGCTTTTTACTTCGAATCTTCGAGTTTTCGGTACCCTTCAGGAACATTTCCCTGATTATAAACAAGATTATAAACGTAAGATCCAGGCCAAATAATGCTATTCCCTCTCTCTCTCCAGTTGACTCCCAATTTCCAACTTCGAACTACTTTGGTTTTAGTAAAATCATCAATATTTGAAAATTTTCTATAGTTTGTTTTGGCTACAGGATGGAGTTTCCTGGAGTTCTAGTGAGAAGTCGTGACCAGTGAGGTCCAACTAGATGTCACGTGTGTGGACGGATGTCCCACCAACGACAATGGTTGGGGTCGCGCTAAATCACGAATTGATAGAAGTTAGAATTCATGAGCCATTGAATCGGGTCCCAGTGGCTGAATGGTATACGAGGTTGCTTGCCTCGAAACCGGAAGGTCCTGGGTTCGAGCCCTGTTGGTGGGTGTGTACTGCCGATGATTCCCAAACTAGGATGAAACAACTGTCCAGTACTCCTTGCTGGTTTTCAATAGTTCTCTAACTGATATCAATCCGTAATCAACTGGTAAAAAATATTTGAAAAGTGTAAAACTTTAATCATCAACCGTGTTGCTTACTTATTCAGTGATATTTAAATAGTGGGTTTTGATCAGGTGTTCAGTTGATTTTTTAAATAATCCTGTTTTACAGTAATATAGTACAGTAAAATCAGTCTATCAGAAAATTTGAGATGTATTCATTGAAATGAAAAGTAAAAATAATTTACTATTCAAGTGATTAATTAATATCTTTAACATTTTGTTTTTTAATGACACAATGTTCCATTTTGTAACAATTTACTATTAGTTCACTGTTTTACGGTAATTTTCTATCATTTTCATGATACCATTGAGAAGATAATTGGATACGGTTTTCTAAATCAGATCTTGTTGACTCAGGGTATGCTGCATCTGCGACAAATACAGTATTACCATTACTGTTAACACTGTTCAAATTTGTTAACTTTTCATTGCATGGATTATTTGTATTTTGACAACAATGATACAATTCATTTCCATTTGTAGGTAGTTGTTCTTTTTCACTAGCTAAAATCAACTTTTTCTTCCTATGTAGTATATAACATATGAAACCCAGCAGTATAACTCGAATTGTTACTAAAACTGCCATACTAATAAAAAATCCACCATATCCAAAACCATCAATAATTGCACCAGAAAATAATGGTGCTAACAGCATACCAATACCGGCAATCATTTTTGTCATAGGAAATGCAATCGACCCGTGGACAAGCATTACTTCTTCTGATGTAGCATATAAAAAGGTGTTGCCTACACCGACTGTTGCACCAGTGAATCCAGCAAGTATATAAACCACATTTATATCTTCATAAGTTTTCTGCATGATAATCAAGAACAAAGCAGCGAATGATGCCCCAATGAAATAAGCAAATGCTAAATAACCTCGTATTCGATCACCAATTAAAGCGCCAATCGTAAATACAACTGATTCTCCGACACCAAAGTATAAGTTAACACGTGCACCCAACACTAACTGGTCATTTAGCGCTTGACTTACATAGGCTGTCATATTCATAAGTAGACCATAAATCACAAGATTATGAATTAAACGTTCAAATGCCCAAATAAATACTTGTGGATTGTTTTTCATATGGTCGATAGAACAGAAAGCCCATCCACGCCCATCACTTGCTTTCGGTGAATTTCGTAGCAGTAAAGACTGTCTCCGTAATGATTTGTTCACAGAATTTTCATCGGAAATATCAGGTGTTTCTGTCATTGCTTGATGATATTCAAACATATCTCTTGAAAGAAACACAATTCCAGCTAAGCATGTAACGAATAAAAAGAGTACTCCGCTTATTTGAAATGCTACTTGCCAACCGTAGTTTTGTATTAAATTTGAGTACAATGGACCAAATATCAACACACCATAGGGTCCCCCAGATACAAATGCTGTAGCTAAGACATGAAATCGATGCGATTTATCAAAATACTCAGCTGTCACAAGACTTGTACCGCATAAAATGAGAGTAGATCCAAGACCGTGTATTAATGTATGAGTTAAGAATAGATAACCTGGACTAGGCACTGCAGCCGACGTCATACAACTAACAAAAATGAGCAAACCAGCTGTAAACATTGTACTTCTATAAGGTCGGTTCAATCGAATAATTACGGTTGTTGCAAATGGCATTAAAAAGAATCCAAGTGCTGCATAACTGTCACCAACCCAATTCAACTCTGTCATACTCGTATCATTATACGCTGTGTGTAATGCAGCAACAAATATTCCAAATGCTCTTCTTTTACCGCCTATGCAAACAACATTGAGTGCAGCAACTAACAAAACCAACCATCCTAAATGACGCCAGCTATATAGCTTCATACGAGCTTTTGAAAATTTTGCATAGATAGAATGGAAGATACTATGGGTTATCTGAGATGTTGCCTCCTCTTTAGTCATTTTGAAAATGTCAAGTAATCACAACGGAATCCTCCTTACAATTTCTTTATGCCTGATTTAATTCCTGTGGTATATTGTAAATTTACGCATGTGTCATTTCATCGTAACATGTGTCTGTCCTGTTCAACTTAACACTCACCCAGCCAACCTCATTTTCACCAAATAATTTAGCGAATTCAGTTCACTTCCCATTTGTATAACAAACAAGCTAGAGGATAGAAATTAGGACTAGTTTACGTAATGTGTACACTAAAATCAGTCTAACAGCCTACATTAATAACCACACAAACACACAATTTTATTCCCTGATTATCATTTATCCCAATAGAGAAAGTTGTATTTAAACTAGTCATTTGAATAATCCACTAATTATCAAGGAGATATGAGTGTTGACAGAATAACCACATCTGTGATTCTCAACATTCATTAAAGTAGGCGTTTTCATTTTTTTATTTTAACTGAGACATATGCTTCTGATGACTGGCCACTGTTTCCTTTTTCAATCGGTGTGAAAGGATAAATTTAAACTGAACAGACTTTTAGGCCAATATATTAAGATATTATTATCGTTCGTTCCCTGCAGTCCGAGTAGAAAATACAGCTTCAGCAGCACACCTCAATTGTACTCTATCCTCTCCCGGCACTTTATTTGACTCCAAGACTGCCTATAAGCTTTACATGATCTCCACGTCACCACCAGATGCCCAGTTGGTCACCTGACAGCCTCACTTAAGATGTCATTCGACAGTCTCCTCAGCGTATATCCAGTTCATCAATACTTCTATCCTCACGTAAGCTGGGTGATAGATTCTCGGTTGGTTCGCTGACAAAGTTCCTTGTTCCCTATCCTTTCCTGTCAGTCATCTGATATTCAGTAGTGAATGAGGGAAGCTGTTGATGAAAATCTGCAACCTGTTGGAAATGTTTGATGGGTCCCATGATTTGAACCTTGCAATCAAAATTTTCGAAATTACTCATCTATTTTACCAAACAAGTATTTAACCGTAACTTATGTTTCAATGAAATAAGATCGCACCTAGGCAACATGTAATACTTTGAAAATCCCTAGAAATGTCAACCAAGAATAATAAACCTCATAAAAAAACAGTAAAGTGCTTTATGTGGCCATTCCAAACAGAAAGATCAACAGAATGAAGACTCTTCAAAGAAAATCAAATGAAAGGTTATCTAGCCAAATAAATATGGCAAACCAAACTCATTCAAGTACAGATTCCAATGAACAAACAGACAGTAACTCATCAAACAAAAAGAATAAAAACGTAGATCCAGGTTAAAAGCCAGAACTCCGGCATTGTTGCCAGTGTTCAAAGTAACAACTACGACTTAGCAATACAAACTAGGAAAGACCCTCTAAAATAAATACAATAATCTGAGGTTACAAAACCTTATCTACAACAGAAAACCCATCTTTAATAGTGTGGCAGCTGTTACTGATAAGATTCATCAGTATCTTCTACCAAGTCTTTGTCTTCTACCGTTTCAATCGGTCTCACTGCCTCCAGACAATGAAGATCCCATGGCCGGCTGCTTTAGAAGAAGGAGACATAAGGAGCTTCTTACGGGACTTTGAAGCCATCGCTGAAATGGTGGGCGTCAAGGAACCGATGGCGAAGGCGGTCGTGCTGAGGACGCTGCTTAGAGGTCGAGCAAAGGCGTCGTATGGAGCGGTCAGGTGGGATGGAGACCTGTAAGCTGGTGGTTAAACGATTAATGTCGGAGTTTGACAGCCCGACGGATAGTCAGCTGGAGATTCAACAGTTCCATGCTGCAAATCTGGGATCGGAAGGAGACCTGCTAGTGTTGGCGGTGAAGCTGACGAATCTACTACGTCGTGCACTCCCCACACTGGATGAATGTCTCTTTATATACTACTGATAAATCTTATCAGTAGCACTCACCATAAGAGTACAGTGAATCTAGTTCAAAGGGGATTTGTCATGAATACTGGATAATAAGTTAACTACATTTTCTTCCTCTGCAAGCGAAAATAACAAAATTCTACTGAGAAAACCCAGAAAGCATAAAGCAATAAAACTTCTGGACTATTATGATATGGCACCACACCTGTGTTTTGGTAACATAATTATAAATAATTCTCAGCTGCTCTTTCGTCAGCTGCTCTGTAACAATAAATTTCTATATATACCGGTCTTTTACACATTACGTGGTTCACCAATTTAGAAGTGCTAGTGTCAACAGAAGATACTTAGCAATTTCAAAGCAGCAATAATTACCAAAACTCTTTGAGGCAACAATTAAGGAATAAAAATGACCATACTATAAAACTATGAAAATTAAAATCGGCTGTTTTAAAGTTCACGGTATGTTTGATGATGAAAAATAACCAAGGTACCAGAATTAGTGATTTTGTCAGTTGGTAAAGTTTTTAAGATCTGTTAATTAATTTCTTGTATAATCACACCAATTTATATCACAATGAAACTGTATATATATTCTTTTCCATGAATATGTTATTTTGTGAAAATAAATTAATTTCATTCCAAGTTATTTGGAATAGTTTGTCAGATGTGAAATAATTTATTCGGCATAACAAACTAGTTCTCTCTGCAGGATACAATGGCATATTGTTATGTAGGTTACAGAAACACTTGTAGTATCAATCCCATAATTTAAATCTTATCATCACACCAGATATTCACAGATTTTGATGTCTAATTGAAACTCTTTGTGATACCGAGAAAAAAAACTTATTATCACTCAAAATATTTCAGAGGTGATATTTTGGTGAGAGCTGGATGCAAGCCAAAATTGTAGACAACAATTTACGTCAATCTTACGTCCCGAATCAAGGTCATGACAATAACAAAGCAATAATAACAAAGTCGTGACCAGTAGGGTGCAGCAGGTTGGGTGTGAGGACAAATACTCGCCGAAGACATTGGCTAGGGGTCGCGCTATATCGTGAATTGGCAGAAGTTAGAATTCATGGGCCATTGGATCGAGTCTCAGTAGATTAATGGTCTACGAGCTAGCTCGCCTTGTAACCAGAAGGTCCTGGGTTCGAATCCCGGTGGGTGCGTACTGCTGAAGAGTCCCAAACTAGGATGAAACAGCTGTCCAGTACTCCCAGGTTTTCCAATGGTTCTCTAACTAATGTCAGCTCAGGATGAAAATCCTGTGACCGATCAAATCCCTACAAACCAACACTTGAACAAAGCTTAACCTTGAGAAAATCACCAGCCAATCACAGAGGAGTTAAAGTGTGGAAATAGGACCCACAGATATATGGCTTGATTTTCTGAGAAACGGTCACAAAGAGATAACAGAATTACAGCTTACAGCTTGATTACAGCTTGATGCCACACCGTATTTTTGGTGCAAGTATGGCATTTTCAGCATGGATATCGGTAGCCCAAATTTCGCAGGCCGACCATAGATATCGGGTGTGCGTCGGCAGGGGGTCGAACCTCAGACCATGTGCATGGTCGGCGAGAGTCCTAATCACTGTGCACCGACAGCAAGAAAACAACCAATCAGAAGAGGTTGCTTCTCCTCTAACAATAATATACATAAAAATCTATAAATACCTCTTGATTTTTTCAATAAACAGTCTGTTATCTGGCCCTTGTCTTCTGTCGTTACAATATGTTTCCCTTCTTCTAACAGTAAATATTTATTCATAAAGTGTCTAAGACTATGATTTGATGAATCATGAAATGACATTCTATACGGAATATAGATGAAAATTAACTTGTGGGAACCAGATAAGGATTTGGTGACATAGAAAAATATATTTATGTACTTGAATTTTGAAAGTGTAAGTTTGGTACCTTGAAAGGATTGCCCCGCATGAGCCATATTCAAATGTTACTCCAACGAAATCAAAACCCAAAAATTGATACAAAACTGGATTTGTTATCACACAGAAACTTGTTATATTAACAGTCATCTATATCAGTCAACGAAGCCTATCCTAGCAATGAAGTTTTATTTTTATTTATAAATGAACACTAAGATAATTTAGAGACTGAATGATACAACTTACACTTAGTCTCTATACTCCATTTCGTAGTGTGTTCTTTTATTTCGGCATAATTGATGCCATTCTTCTCTTTAATTTCATTACAAATGACTGTTGGAAAAGTGCGTCAACGGACAGGATAATCAAGCAAAACAAAAGTGTGAGTGCAGCACTTGTGTCAGATGGCCTAGACGAGTAAAAAGGGGTAGAAGGGGAACCTCAAACAATCTTATCACAAGCACACAGTGTAAGCTTACTTGTAAAAGAGTTTTTATGAAAGTTTTTCCACCATACTTTACCCTTCTAGTTTGGATTAAAAAGAAGTGAGCCACAAAAATACCGTCTGGCGTTCCACTCTCTTTAGGCAAGTTTGTGTGTTACTACTGACTTCGGTTATTTCGACACTAGTGTCCTTAACAATTAAAATCAGATTTTAGCTAGATTTGTCTATTCTTGCATTAAATGTGTTCAAGGAACAAACTCCTTCGAGAGTAAAATTAAATTCTCTATTAAAAATATATTCGTGGAAATCCTGACAAAGTAAAATCAACTACTGGAACTGTTCAATGTGCACATTGAGCCACTTATACAAATGGCACAATATGTAGCATCCAATACATGACCAAATGAACTCTGACAACGAATCATTCCGATAAACCTAAAAACCATGATAGGTTCGCTTCGTGATTAAACAAATATTCAATCACACAACAGTTGTGCCAGGTAAATTTCTCAAGCCTGATGCTCAATTCAACCAGATACATCTGGATTTATTTAGCCAATGACTTTTTAATAGCTACACATATATGACATAATAGACACTGAATTTCCAGTTTAAAGTCGCCTATCACTGTGGCCAGTTCCCAGTTTAAGTATTGATTATTCCAGTAATTCAAATTCATAATCTGGAAATAAATTCCCTATCTGCAATTTAAACGGCTCGAGGAGGTGAAATCTAGCCACAATTTCCTCTGGAAACCAAACTTTTCAGTTCTCAGATTGATTGAGATGAGTAGCTTTATACCACTGCT